GGGGACGGTGGGGGACGGTGGGGGACGGTGGGGGACGATGGGGGACGATGGGGGACGGTCGGGGATGGGTGGGGGACAGTTGGGGACGGCGGGGGACGGCGGGGGACAGTGGGGGACAGCGGGGGATGGCAGGGGACGGTGGGGGACGGCAGGTGACTGTCGGTGACTGCAGGGAATTCCCAGTAAGTATGAGCAACTGTGGGGGACTGCAGGAGACTAATGAATAAATCCTATTCACGCCATATCCCTACACCCTCTTAGAATAATTCTGAGTTTGCTAACGAATACGTACGATAGGTAGATACGGTAAAGAAGAGCAAGCCTAGGGGATGTTGAATAGGAGAATAAACGCCTAATTGTACACTTACAAAGATAGAATCTATTATGAAATTGAGAATACCACAATATCTATCCTTCTAATCTGCATTTTCATTACTCTTTCTTCGCCTACCTTTTACTCTTCAATCTTTATTACAACTTCAAGTTCTATGTCACTCAAACATGAAGCCCCGGCCTCACAGGGCATGGTCAGGGATTTTGATATTGATGCAGTTGTTGTACTGATCAATACTACTGGTGTTTCAACCATCTCAATACACAATATTGAAGGTAGTCATGGAAGTAGTTCAGGTAGTGCATCAAGTAGTGTACCAAGTAGGCTTTTAACACTTTAGGTGGAAGGAATCCCAGTCTGTGTTACACATATGACATACAGACCTCCCCCGCATACAGACCTCCTGAGAACTATGAAAATTCTATGGCCAACACCGCCTTCTAGCCCCACTGTTGGGCCTGCACATTATAGTAGTATCACCAGACTTTTGTGTGCTGTCACTATAAATCAGTTAAAATGATGCATGCTTAATCATACCATATACATCATGGCCATCTATCTGACTAAAAGCTGTTTACAGGATATATAAGAGAAAACCTCAGACCATGTCTGAAAAGTAGAATAGGATCAATCAGATAGATAACTATGAAGCTATGAGTTAAGTGAGATTGACTATTACGAATCTAGACAGAAAGTGTTGGGATGAAATTGCCAACAGTCTAATGAGTTATCAGGACATGGGCATAAGGATAAGGCACAGGACCCATTCTAGTGCTCATATAGTATTGAGTTAACAGGAGGTCTATCTATAGTTGAGAGACTTTCCTATGATGTTGACTAGTCCAAACATGGTTGAAAGTCTTTAAAAGTTGATGTAGTTGAATTATGAAGTCAATAATACATTGATAGTAAGTCTCTTGATGAAGCTGATCACTGCAGTCAGGGAAAGAAGAATGGTATACTGGCTCAAGTTGAGATCACTTACTTAATCCAAACTGACTTGGCAAAGAAATCATGCACTTTTACCAGAGAGGTTTTATAAAGTTCTTGTGAAAACATGACAGTGTACAGAGACTATAGTCCTAGCAAGATATATACTGTTTAGAGTCAAACAGATCCCCATTACAAGAGTAAGAGGTAGGAATAGAAAAAGGTATATTGTTTGGTATTAGATAGATGTAGTAGCCCATGACTACCCAGATGTGGAATATAAATATCAAGCTACCTCCCTAGCTTTCAGAGTCTATCCTCAGGCCCTTCCGAGATTCGCCCCCCCTCTCCCCCGAGGAGGTACAGAAGGCCCTATCTAAGTCATCAAACTCTTCAGCCCCAGGCCCGGACCAGATCCCTTACGGGGTCTGGAAGAAGGTCCATGCAGCTAATCCCTCCCTCCTTGTTAACCTCCTCTCTCCTTTACTAGCTTTTGGCTTCCACCCCCCCTCCCTCAAAAAGGCCAATGGAGTCGTTCTCTCCAAGCCAGGTAAACCAGACTACTCCTCGCCCACCTCTTTCCGCATCATTGTCCTCCTCCAGACAGTCTCAAAAATCCTAGAACGGATTGTTGCCTCTCGCCTTTCCCTAATTGCCCGCTCAAGCGGCCTAATCAACCCAAATCAGTGTGGCTCGCTCCCAGGACTCAGTACCTACGACGCCTGCGCCGCCCTCACCCACGAGATCCGATGCCTCCAGAGGCCCGGGCTCAAAGCCTCGTCACTCTTCCTTGACATCAAAGGGGGGTTTGACAACATCAATTCAACGCTACTCACTACTTTCATGAAGTCCAGGGGGGTGCCTCCATACATCTGTGCCTGGGTTCAGTCTTTCCTTTCTAACAGACATTGTCGTCTTCTCTTTCAAGGGTCTCCCAATGTGTTCTCTCCGGTGCAGGTGGGTGCGCCACAGGGGTCTCCTATTTCTCCTCTTCTTTTTGTTATCTATGTGTCTCCTCTTCATTTGAGCATTCCCAAGGGGATTATGTTTTCCTATGTTGATGATTTTACTGTCACGGTGGCCTCTCTCTCTTACAGGCGCAATGTTCAGCGCTTACAACATTACTTTCTGGCACTGAAGAGGAGGGCGAGTGCTATAGGCATGTCCTTCTCTGTGCCCAAGACCGAACTGACCCACTGGAGGACCTCAAGGGACCATGGGGCTCGTTGCTATACCCCAGTCACCCTGGATGGGACCCTCTTCCACCCCGCCGGGCTGGTTCGCTGGCTTGGCTACTGGTTTACCCCTAGCCTGGAAACCTCTCCTCACTTCGCAAAACGGTTGGCACTCGCCCAGGGGGCCTTTGCTATCGTAAGACAACTCTCTCCCCCCGGCAAAGGCTTGCCTCCTTATCTCAATCGAAGGCTTGCTGTGGGGCTCATCCTCCCCATCCTTTCCTACAGGGCCGATCTTCTGGTACCCAACGCTTCTTCACTCCACAAGATGGAGGTCTTCTGGAACCGGGTCCTCCGATAGGTGACCAACTGCTTCCACTCCACCCCTACATCAATCCTCCCCTGCGAGGCCAGCATCCCCCCTCTGGTAGTCCTTCTCCCCCATAAGCGCCG